CATAGTATACAGACACTGAGCTACCCCCATACATAGTATACAGACACTGATGAGCTACCGCCATACATAGTATACAGACACTGAGCTACCCCCATAGTATACAGNCCCGATAGTATACAGACACTGAGCTACCTCCATAGTATACAGACACTGAGCTACCCCATAGTATACAGACACTGAGCTACCTCCATAGTATACAGACACTGAGCTACCCGATAGTATACAGACACTGAGCTACCTCCATAGTATACAGACACTGAGCTACCCCATAGTATACAGACACTGAGCTACCTCCATAGTATACAGACACTGAGCTACCCCCATAGTATACAGACACTGAGCTACCCCCCCATAGTTTACAGACACTGAGCTACCCCCCATAGTATACAGACACTGAGCTACCCCCCCATAGTTTACAGACACTGAGCTACCCCCCATAGTATACAGACACTGAGCTACCCCCATACATAGTATACAGACACTGAGCTACCCCCATACATAGTATACAGACACTGAGCTACCCCCATACATAGTATACAGACACTGAGCTACCCCTCCCCCCCCCGATAGTATACAGACACTGAGCTACCTCCATAGGATACAGACACTGAGCTACCCCATAGTATACAGACGCTGAGCTACCTCCATAGTATACAGACACTGAGCTACCCCACAGTATACAGACACTGAGCTACCTCCATAGTATGCAGACACTGAGCTACCCCCATAGTATACAGACACTGAGCTACCCCATAGTATACAGACGCTGAGCTACCTCCATAGTATACAGACACTGAGCTACCCCCATACATAGTATACAGACACTGAGCTACCTCCATAGTATGCAGACACTGAGCTACCCCCATAGTATACAGACACTGAGCTAACCCCCCATAGTATACAGACACTGAGCTACCCCCATACATAGTATACAGACACTGAGCTACCCCTCCCCCCCCCGATAGTATACAGACACTGAGCTACCTCCATAGGATACAGACACTGAGCTACCCCATAGTATACAGACACTGCGCTACCTCCATAGTATACAGACACTGAGCTACCCCACAGTATACAGACACTGAGCTACCTCCATAGTATGCAGACACTGAGCTACCCCCATAGTATACAGACACTGACCTAACCCCCATAGTATACAGACACTGAGCTACCCCCATACATAGTATACAGACACTGAGCTACCCCTCCCCCCCCCGATAGTATACAGACACTGAGCTACCTCCATAGGATACAGACACTGAGCTACCCCCATAGTATACAGACACTGAGCTACCTCCATGGTATACAGACACTGAGCTACCCCATAGTATACAGACAATCAGCTACCTCCATAGTATACAGACACTGAGCTACCCCCATACATAGTATACAGACACTGAGCTACCCCCATACATAGTATACAGACACTGAGCTACCCCCCATAGTATACAGACACCGAGCTACCCCCCATAGTATACAGACACTGAGCTCCCCCCATAGTATACATACACTGAGCTACCCTCCCCCCATAGTATACAAACACTGAGCTACCCCCCATAGTAAACAGACACTGTGTAAAGACTAAGTCTACTATTGCACCTACATATTATCACACCCCTGAGATTGCAATTTTATAAAACTTGAGTCAAGAGAAAAATGAGTTCATTTACATATATATATATATATATATATGTATAGTAAGTATCAATTTACATATTTGTATGTACAAAATGTTTGTGTATGATTAACATAGTGCCTTTTTATATATCTACAATCCAGGAAACTGACTCTTTTACATTCACAGAGAACTTATGATTGACAATGATTAAGGACTGTTACAATAGTTGTACTTATAGTTGAGGTAATCAATGTTATAATAAACAATATTCCTTACACACCATTCTCTCACTACAAACACTGATCCCTGTTATCACACAGCTATAGGAGATATACATGTATGGCACTTATCAATGATCAGTAGACATATTGCACTTCACCCTTGGCTGTACAATACTGTTGTGGGAACATTTATGGAGGGTCAAGTTTTACAGTATTTTTAGTTTAACAATTTTATACAATTATGGCAATGGACGACTCCAGAACTCTCAGGTGTCGTTCATCATCATCATGTCATCTTGTGGAGTTTCAGATTGACACCATATTGTTTCAGTTCAAGATTTACCATCATTATTCTAATGTTTTTCAAATAATTTGTACATTAAATACAGCCTTGGGGTGATTTTTTAAAATATTTCAGTATCTATATATCTTCATGAAGCAAATTTTACTTGATGTTTTGAACAGCTAACCAATATATCAGCCGTTGATGTTCATTTTAAATGACACTTTCCTGTGATCCTATAGAGTTTTGTAAATTGTCCATTCCAGTACCTAGTAGATATGTGACAATGATATTAATTAAATAAAAACAATTATTTCATCATTAACAGTCTCCACACTAGTGTCTGAAATAAAACACAAAAATCTAGAGAAATCTTCCTGATGTGGTGATAAAAAGTAGTCTTAAACAGATTTATATCATACATATTAAAATTGGTATAAATAATCCCCCATCACCCCCATATATCACAATAGACTGGCCCACAACAATGGAAGACAGGACTGGAAATCAAACTTCTGTCCCTGATATATTGTGAGTATTTTTTCCCTGAGATTTTATATTAGTATCTTTGATTTTCACGTTAAAAGTCCTGTCTTTTTCTGCCTGGTGAACTGAAGAGTTTTTGATCTCCATGATATTCACGTTGATTTTGGACTGTGACAGTCTGTTCTGTCGATTTTGATGTGAAGATCGTAGAGAATTCTGCTGTGCAATTTCTATATTACTCTTTCTTGTAACTGGAGAGCTCTGCTCTTTCCTTTTCCTTCGGCGTTTCCGTCGGAAACAGAAGCACAGGCAGCACACCACTACCACTACCACTGCTATGACTAGAAGTACCACTACCACTGGCATTATCCATGGTAACTCTGTCGGGGAATCCCCGTTTGACTGGGAGCTGTCTTTTTTCAACTTTATGGCTATTATATTTGTTCCATTACGAGGTTGATCCAGAGGATTGTCTTGCTCTGGTGATATGCCTCGTTTCTCACGGTAGGATCGCCTGTTTCGGTATTCGGGTAGGGAACTATCGCCCCTAGTAATAATGTATACCACTTGTAAATACCACTGGACGCCAGCAGTTACCTGCAAAGAAAATGACACAACATTTAGTCAGACATTACTGTGTTCATCAGGAGGACAAAGGTCAAGGGCACCGTTGCTGTAAATAGAGTATCAGCTTCTGTATATATTTGTCTTTATATGAAGGAAAAGTCTACTGTCTTCAATGCTTGGTAAGTTGGACGGTGTAATCTCGCTCCACGGATGTGTACAGATTACCAAGCTTTTAAGACAGTACCGGTTAATATAGAACTCTTTAGGATAAGAGTTTCATGTCACACAAGGGTAGCACAACAGGTAAGTGGATATTATTTCAATGAGGAAAAGCGTATGAGTAAATTAATGCAAAATATATCCACCGGTGATATTTACAAATATCTAGTTTATCAGCATGTCATATTAAGGTAGCATACATCCTTAATTGGTACCATGCTGATGAATGACCTCTTGACCCTGCTATGATGACTTACTTTGTAAAGAGGATCAGTACTTATGCTGAAGCCGTCTATTCCGGGGAAGTCCTCTAAACGAGCCAGGTCCGGGCTGTCTCCACAGAACTGAGCGTTAAATGGTACGTGCTGGAAGTGCCTCTGTATTACATCGGGATTACCTCGATCCAGGATCAGGAATCTATGAAGCAGGTTTCTACTGGGCTGTATACATCCAAACTGAGGCCCGTCGCCATAGATATCACCTTTAGGGTCATAGGTCGGCACAAAACCATCACTTCCTGTAGAAAGAAAAGGAATAAAGAATAAAGAGAAATGTCTTTATAAAAGTGTTTTACTGTATACTTAAGTTAATATGAATTTTATAACAAAGAAGAAAGCTGTCATGATAGGTTGGTTCAGTAGGTAACCTTACCGGCACACAGGTAGACTTTTTGGACAGAGAGTCTGTAGGCACCCCGCAGATCCTGGTCTGGATCCCACATAACACGCCCAAATAGCTCCTCACCTAAAACATGTTAATATCTTATAATAGGCCTAACTAGTTAGTATCAAGGGAAACTAACACTTGTATTGTTTGTACATGTTCAATATATACATTTGTACATGTTTAATATATACATATTATGTATGGTCCATTTGTACATGTTTGATATATACATATTATGTATGGTCCATTTGTACATGCACAACAACGACTGTACACACTACTGTCAATGAGCTTTGTAAGTAGATAATTTACCAATGGTGAATGTTGTATCATCAAAGTACAGGTCGTCCTGTGTCTGATCTGGCCCCTGTAGGAAGGTTTGTCTGTTGCTGGTGAGTTGGAACCTGGTGTTTAGAGTGTATACGAGAGGTACGGGTCTGTTGGACTGCTGAAAGGCTATGGGTACCTCAAACCTAAACACACAACATACAACTAGAAGGTGATTTTTCTATGTTATATTTAATTGCATAATCGTTAAAAATGCAAATCCAGAATGGGACGTTTGCTGCTAATTACAAAAATAAGTGAGGTTGGTGTTGGTAGGGTCAAGGTTAGTTGATAGGGTGGGGTTGGTGGTATGAAGTTGAGGGTGGGGATTGGTAGGGTGAGGATGGGGATTGGTTGAGTGAGGGTGGAGATTGGTAGGGTGAGGATGGGGATTGGTTGAATGAAGGTGGGGATTGATAGTGATGGTGGGGATAGGTAGAGTGATGGTGGAGATCGGTAGAGTGAGGATGAGGATTGGTAGGGTGAGGGTGGGGATTGATAGGGTGAGGATGGGGATAGGTAGAGTGATGGTGGGGATTAGTAGAGTGATGGTGGGGATAGGTAGAGTGATGGTGGGGATTGGTAGAGTGAGGATGAGGATTGGTAGAGTGATGGTGGGGATAGCTAGAGTGATGGTGGAGATTGGTAGAGTGAGGATGAGGATTGGTAGGGTGAGGGTGGGAATTGAAAGGATGAGGATGGGGATTGGTAGAGTGATGGTGGGGATTGGTAGGGTGAGGATGGGGATTGGAAGAGTGAGGGTGGAGATTGGTAGAGTGAGGATGAGGATTGGTAGGGTGAGGGTGGGGATTGATCGGGTGAGGATGGGGATAGGTAGAGTGATGGTGGAGATTGGTAGAGTAAGGATGAGGATTGGTAGGGTGAGGGTGGGGATTGATAGGATGAGGATGGGGATTGGTAGAGTGCTGGTGGGGATTGGTAGGGTGAGGATGGGGAATGGTAGGGTGAGGATGGGAATTGATAGGGTGAGGATGGTGGGGATTGGTAGGGTGAGGGTGGGGATTGATAAGATGAGGATGGGGATAGGTTGAGTGATGGTGGAGATTGGTAGAGTGAGGATGAGGATTGGTAGGGTGAGGGTGGGAATTGATAGGATGAGGATGGGGATTGGTAGAGTGCTAGTGGGGATTGGTAGGGTGAGGATGGGGAATGGTAGGGTGAGGATGGGGATTGATAGGGTGATGGTGGGGATTGGTAGGGTGAGGATGGGGAATGGTAGGGTGAGGATGGGGATTGATAGGGTGAGGATGGGGATTGGTAGAGGGATGGTGGGGATTGGTAGGGTGAGGATGGGGATTGGTAGGGTGAGGATGGGAAATGGTAGGGTGAGGATGGGGAATGGTAGGGTGAGGATGGGGATTGGTAGGGTGAGGATGGGGATTGATAGGGTGAGGATGGGGATTGGTAGAGTGATGGTGGGGATTGGTAGGGTGAGGATGGGGAATGGTAGGGTGAGGGTTGGGATTGGTAAAGTGATGGATGGGATTAGTAGAGTGAGGGTGGGGATTGGGAGGTTGAGGATGGGGATTGGATTGGTAGAGTGATGGTGGGGATTAGTAGAGTGAGGGTGGGGATTGGTAGGGTGAGGGTGGGGATTGATAGGGTGAGGATGGGGATTGGTAGGGTGAGGATGGGGAATGGTAGGGTGAGGGTGGGGATTGGTAGAGTGAGGGTGGGGATTGGTAGGGTGAGGGTGAGGATTGATAGGGTGAGGATGGGGATTGGTAGGGTGAGGATGGGGAATGGTAGGGTGGGGGTAGGGGCTGTTAGGGTGAGGGATGGTATTGGTAGGGTGAGGGTGGGGATTGGTAGGGTAAGGTTGGGGATTAGTAGGGTGAGGGAAGGGACTGTTAGGGTGAGGGTTGGTATTGGTAGGGTGAGGGTGGGGATTGGTAGGGTGGGGGTAGGGACTGTTAGGGTTGGTATTGGTAGGGTGAGGGTTGGGATCGGTGGGGTGAGGGTGGGGATTGGTAGAGTGATGGTGGGTATTGGTAGAGTGAGGGTGGGGATTGGTAGGGTGAGGGTGGGGATTGGTAGAGTTATGGTGGGTATTGGTAGAGTGATGGTGCATATTGGTAGAGTGAGGGTGGGGATTGGTAGAGTTAGGGTGAGAATGGGGAATGGTCGGGTGAGGGTAGTGGTTTGAAGGGTAAGGTTGACAGTACATTGAGGGTGATGGTTGGGGGAGTGTTGCAGGTTGAAGTGTGAGGGTTGCAGTTTGTAGGTTTGGGCTTGGGGTTCATTAAGTAGGGAAGAACATAAAGAATCAGGGAAGGACATTTCCATATGAGGGAGTTTGTTTAGCCTTTGTGGTTGATTATCAGTGCAGAGTAGGGTTCTGACCACACACATTCACCTGTGATATAGCGGGAAGTATACTGGATGGAGTGAAGATGGGGTGTTTCTAGGGAACTTGGTTCTGTGGTCAGTAGGGTTGAATTTGCTTGGGTTAAAGTTCCTGTCCCCAGTAGACACATATTGTAGTTTATTATTTATAATAAACTTTGTTTGTAAACAGCCATTTGTTTATATNAGTCCTTACCTCTGGCTGATGGTGGGCGTTATAGGTAGGGAGGGGTGTTTTTACAGTCCTTACCTCTAACTGATGGTGGGCATTAGGGGTAGGGAGGGGTGTTTCTACAGTCCTTACCTCTGGCTGATGGTGGGCGTTATAGGTAGGGAAGGGTGTTTCTATAGTCCTTACCTCTAACTGATGGTGGGCGTTACGGGTAGGAAGGAGTGTTTCTACAGACCTTACCTCTGGCTGATGGTGGGCGTTATAGGTAGGGAAGGGTTGTTTCTACAGTCCTTACCTCTAACTGATGGTGGGCNTTGGTCAAGTGGTTAGCCACGCATAATTAATGAGATGACCAACAAAAGTCAGCGTCACTNGTAAGGAGGGGTGTTTCTACAGTGCTTACCTCTGACTGATGGTGGGTGTTAGGGGTGGGGATGGCGGTTTCTACAGTCCTTACCTCTGACTGATGGTTGGCGTTATAGGTAGGGAGGGGTGTTTCTACAGTCCTTAACTCTGGCTCATGGTGGGTGTTAGGGGTGGGGATGGCGGTTTCTACAGTCCTTACCTCTGACTGATGGTGGGCGTTATAGGTAGGAAGGGGTGTTTCTACAGTCCTTACCTCTGGCTCATGGTGGGTGTTAGAAGTGGGGATGGCGGTTTCTATAGTCCTTACCTCTGACTGATGGTGGGCATTACGGGTAGGGAGGGATGTTTATACAGTCCTTAACTCTGACTGATGGTGGGTGTTATGGGTAGGGGAGGGATGTTTATACAGTCCTTACCTCTGTGGCTGATGACCAGTACACGGTAAAGGTTCCTGACCCCCAGTAAACACCTGGGTAGATGCTACTGTACAAGGTATAAGCTCAATAATGTACTGCCCTGTGTAATCCTGTAAACAAAAAATTGTCTCCATAACATCTCAACTTATTATTTTTATTTGAGGACTTGGAAAATCACAGAGCTATTGACTTTACAAAACTTGAGAAATGATACTTCACTTCACATCAAACAAAATATTTCAATACCACTGTACCGATGTACTCGTTCAACAACAACCCAATCTTATTACCATTGCCTGCTTACCTTGAGATTGAAGTTACTTGTTGCTCGCCACAGCTGATGGGGGCTGTCAAAGGTCTGTTGACCCCACATTAAGGTCAGGTCAAAGGTTATAGCCATGCCCTCTGGTGGAAGTATTCGACTCTCAATTCCAGGCATGGTGTGGTGTTTAAGAACATACATTCCTATAAAAACCAAAGGTTCAGGTACATATGACAATTAATATTTAGGTTTTGAGAAAAAAATGAATACCAACAAATAGAGGGTTGGGATATTCTACTTGTATGTTTTAATAGATGATAATGCAAGTATCTTCCTTCCTTATATGCAGATTGAAAATACCAGCTTATATTTTCACAATTACAACCAACCATATACATCAAAAGATAAACAGTTCCTTCAAATAGTTACTATTTTACTCAGATACAACATTGCCGTGTAAAAAGAGTGCAAACTGTATCTATGGATGCCATTTTATGTTCTGTGAAATTAAAGTCAATTTATCAATTTTTGTTGTGCAAGTGTTTCATCTCTGATCAGTCATATAATTTCTGAATAATAAATCTTTCCTGAACGATTAATTTGCCCTTGACCTGTTGTAATATTGTTTCCTGAACGATTAATTTGCCATTGACCTGTTGTAATATTGTTTCCTGAACGATTAATTTGCCCTTGACCTGTTGTAAAATTGTTTCTATGACAGCATTGATCAATCCCTACCTCGGAACTTAGCGTGTGTCTTGAGATCAATAACAAGTTTGCCATCCCGACCAACCAGGACCTTGAGAACCTGGAGGTCACCACCTGTGGTTCCCTCGCCCTCCAGCCCTGCCTGCCACAGAATGTTGTCGTAGTAGAAGGAGAAGGACATGTCTGTATGGTGCTGAAGGGAGCCCCACCCCACGGGCGCAGTCACGTACACGTAGTACACATACAGAGGCACCGACACAGTCAGGTAGGTCTGGCCGACACCCTTCACCTGGGGGTCACAGAAAGCTTATCAATGACGACAGGAGCATGGGCAGTGAACAGTATATAATTAGGAGTTTCATTGTCATCTTTTTTTCGAATGATATGTCAAAAGACACCACACATGATTCTGAACTAACAAGTGTTAAATAACATAAACAATTTTAACTTACCTGGAAATCAGAGATAACTTTACCGCCGCAGATGTCTACTAAGTCAGTCATGTGATACCACGCACTGAACGACCATACACAGGACTTGAGGTTTAGATGTTTGTATAGACTGATAGTGCGGTTTTCTCTCAGCTGCGAGTCAAACTGGTATGGAAAGTTATAAACTGGTGGGAAAGCTTGTGGGTTGTCTAGGAATCCGGAGTCAACAATCCCCTGTCGCTCCTCTGGTGTGATGAGGTTTGAACACAGATGTTGCTGTCGGTACACAGGTTCGGCTAAAAGATAGCGCAGGTTGTGGAGCGGGAAGGTTGATATGAGTGGGAGGTGGCCATCCTGGTGTGGAATCTGGATGGAGATGTGGATAGTATTGGGATGGTTTGGGTCCTCGGGACCTACGTAGTCCAGATTGGCCAAGAAAGATTGGGCACCATAACTGTTGTGAGGAGAACCATGGAACACAGGGGCCTTACAAATCCCCTCCTCATGGCTGATGGTTACCGCTTCACTCTTGGAAGAAATTCCTGGATTTCCGTTGGCATGTCGAGGTTGTGCAATACACCTGACTCGAAATGTTGGACGAAAGTAAATGCTGTCAAGCACGATCTTATTGACACTTGTAAATAGTGTGGCATCAGTTACCATGACAAAAGGAGGTTTGGATCCTAATTGGTCATTAGCGGGCATAGCAACCTCCCAGGTATACAAGATGGCTGACTGGTTGATGTTCGAATCCTGACACAAAGAATGTGTGATGGTGTAGGTTGGATAGTGGATATCACAGGCCTGTTAAAAATACATAGAAAAAGTTGTATGGTATATACACGGTAACAATGGTGTATGTTGTATTGTATATACAGGGTAACAATGGTGTATGTTGTATGGTATATACAGGGTAACAATGGTGTATGTTGTATGGTATATACAGGGTAACAATGGTATATGTTGTATGGTATATACAGGGTAACAATGGTGTATGTTGTATTGTATATACAGGGTAATAATGGCATATGTTATATGGTATATACAGGGTAACAATGGTGTATGTTGTATGGTATATACAGGGTAACAATGGTGTATGTTGAATGGTATATACAGGGTAACTTACTGATACACATATCAGAGGGTATCTCGGTGAAGTGTTAAACAGTTAGTTACTGATACACATATCAGAGGGTATCCTGGTGAAGTGTTAAACAGTTAGTTACTGATACACATAT